TTACAGTGAGATTTAAATCATTGTCGCTAGGACATCCAGAATTTTGTTTACAATTAGATTTTTCTCCCCTATATTCTATTAAAACTGTTCTATCGTTTGATAATCTTTTTTTTAAAAAAGATGTTCCATCCGAAGGATATTCTAAGCCAGCTATCTGTAAGATTGTAGGAAATATATCTACACTACTAATTGGTGAAGTTATTGTCGAGTGAGGAATTCCAGGACCACTAATTAATAATGGAATTCTTATATCAGTTTCATATAATTGACGTTTATCCATTGGCATACTGAATTGTCCTGTAAATAGAAATAAGCAAAATAGGTTTTTCAACATATTAATTAATCATTCTATATTAAATACCTATTACCAATATGATATCCGTTATCTGATGTAAAAATAATATATGTATCATTTAAAAGATCTTTCTGTTCTAACATATTGTAGACATTTTGAACAAGTTCATCAACAGCTAAAAGACTTTCCCATCTTCGTCTATAAATTTCATCTAATTTAGGTAAGATTTTCAATGGAAGAGGTGACGGTCCTCTTCTGACCAACCAATGTTTATCCTATTGATAAATAATAATTGACATAATTTTTGATATTGAGTTTATTTTTATAATAATAGAGAAATATGTTTACTGTTTGAGTGAAAGTATTAAAATTTGGTGTTCTTTTTGCTTTGATATCCTTGTACTTATCGGTATGCCTTATAGCTGGTGTAAAAGGTGCGTGAGGTGCAGGAGGTGACAGTACCATTAAAAAAGGATTATTGTTAGAATTATACTGATTTAAAAATTCCATGGCTAAATCATTCTATAATAAAATAATTAAATGTTAATTTCATTCGTAGAAGATTTATGTTAAATAAACCCTTTTTAACTCTTTCGATATGAAAGTTATTTGGAATACAAATTTCTACTATATGGATACTTGCATCGCAAATAAGATTTTACTGTAAAGACCAGTTATAATACAAACACATTTTATTGCAAAGTAGATAGAAATATTATTACCTAGATAAGATAGGTAATATCGACAGAGTTAATATTTATGGTACTCAATGTTTAATTGGCTTACTATCACATCTGTGAGGTAATCCTCAGGTTTATCATCATATTGTTTTCTTGTACCGTTAATGGACAAAGTATAATCGTAATACTTAGAATTTCCAACAAGCCCTGCCCACCAGTCCCAACCTGGTGGAATATGTTTGACTCCACCGACGTTTTTTCTACCATACTATTAAATTCAAGTTATATCTAATGCTTGTAAAGAAACTTAATTCTAAATCGTATATATGAATAAATAATTTATTACACCTGATTCAAATATTTTCCAGCATAAAATGTAACATAATTCATTTCATTTTTTAAATATGCTGCAAAAGTATTATGCTCCTGTTTATCTTGCCATTCAATACTGCTACAACCTCCAGAAATAGAATTATTTACTGTTAAATGATTATGTTGATATCTACCAGTTAGAATGGAAGCTCTATTGGGACAACAGATTGGAGATGCTACAAACTATATAATCAAATAATAATGATAATTTATTGAAATAATCTTAAATCTAAAGGATATTATAAATAATTTCAACACATACATGATTAACAAATGTTGCACCTTTACTTCCAATGAGATTTAACGTATTGTTCATCGGTGTCTACAAAATTGATTAGATATAATTATAAAAATCAAAATTATATTACTATTACTATATCTATTTTTATCCTTACCATCCCATCGAGAACTAAATCTAAATCATCAGCAATAATTAATACAATATTTTCTGTTCTACACAATGATATATTTAAATAAAATAATAATATTATATATGTTAATTGAAACATTGTAATTAATAAAAGATCAAATTTTAACTTCTCATTTAATTTTAATCACAAATTGGTATTTAAAACTACATAACAGAAACTGAAAAATTAATAACAGTTGAAATAATATACATTATGACAAATGAACAAAAGATTAATTTATATTTTAACAAATAAAAATGCAGTATTTACAAAGAAATAAAAGAAACATGATATATTTAAAACAATGCAAGTATAATGTTTACAATCAATAAAAACTTCAAAATGTTTTAATATATAATCAATAATTAATGAAATATTAAAATCTTGTTGGATTAATTATTAATTTTATTTTTAATTAATTTATTATAAATTATTAGCACAACATTTATTTTGTTAGAAATTAATTATTATATATTATACTATATATACTAAAAGCCGGTATTCACGTATACACAGTATTACCAACCTATAAAACTTACATGATCTTCAGTCCTATAAACTTAATAATCGTACGAGAACCAATTCGAATAAAGGTAGATGCATTTCTAGGTTAGTTATTTGATCGATGGTCTGGGATGTTAAAACGTGAATGAGGTGGTGAGGTTGTGAAAACAGTGAATAGTCGACGGCAAAGATTGGTGTATCTTTACAAGATGGTGCTGGAAAGTACAATGATATGGTACGTTTTGATAAATAATTTAATAAAAACAATTACCCTTATATTATGTTAATTTATTTCCATTAATCGTAAAGCTTTTTCTTTTTTTTATAGGTAAACAAATTTTATGGGGAAGAAATATCCTATAGTATCTAATAATCTCATTCGTAAATTTATGCTTCCTGAGATGACAATGCAAACTTCTCAGAAAAATTTCGAAATTCTCAAACAATTTTAAAATATATATCGATATATATCTTTTTTATAGATATGAAAACAACATATTTTTTGCTTTTCAACAAAATTTTTCTAAATATATGTATATATATATTTTGACATTATTATATATATATATATATATATATATATATATATATATATATATATATATATATATATATATATGTACATTTAATTTTTTTTATCTAGTTTGTTATAATACGTGGGTAGGTTAAGAAGTTCTAAGCCTAACACACACATATAAAAACAATTCTGTTTCAATAGAAAGTATGACAGTATAAAAATACTTTTATCTTTTGACATAAGCTAAAAACTTTTTAATCTATACTCGTATAATATATATATATATTGTTATTTAATAACTCATATATAAGTCTGTAATTTGAAATTGGTTTGTATAAATTTGTTAATAGTGTCGACAACAGCGACTACATGAGAAATGGAGATTTTTTGCCAACTCGCTTACAAGCTCAACAAGATGCAGTTAATTTAGTATGCCATTCTAAGACCCGTTCAAATCCTGAAAATAATGTTGGTCTTATAACACTTGCAGAGTGAGTTTATATATATAATGTATTAATTTAATCGAAACAATGATGGAAAGTTAAAAAAATTTTATTACTGATTATTATTATTATTGATCTTCATCTAGCGTTCAAGTTTTAGCAACTCTTACAAGCGATGTTGGTAGAATACTTTCTAAGCTTCATCAAGTTCAACCAAATGGACACTTATGTTTAGTCACAGGAATTAGAATTGCACATGTAAGTATTCATTGAAGAAGAGTGAGAGAAAAAAGAATTGTTCATAGATCCGTCTTAAATTTTTTAATTAATCTACTTTTTATTTATAGTTGGCCCTAAAGCATCGACAGGGTAAGAATCACAAGATGCGAATAGTAGCATTTGTTGGAAGTCCAGTGGATATAGATGAAAGAGAATTGATCAAGCTAGCAAAGCGACTTAAAAAAGAAAAGGTCAATGTAGATATAATAAGTTTTGGGGAAGAAAGCATTAATAATGAAATTTTAACAGCTTTTATTAATGCATTAAATGGTAAAGATGGAACTGGTAGCCACCTTGTTACTGTACCACCTGGCCCACATTTATCGGATGCTTTGATCTCTTCTCCTATTATTCAAGGAGAAGATGGAATGGGTGGAGCAGGAATGAGTGGAGCTGCATTTGAATTTGGTGTTGATCCTAATGAAGATCCTGAACTGGCATTGGTATATACATGCATRCATGCATTTAATTTTTATTAAACAGATATATGATAAATGAATATGAAAATTCATGAATACTATTTTTTAGGCTTTACGAGTTTCCATGGAAGAACAACGTCAAAGACAGGAAGACGAAGCACGTAGAGCACAAGTTACTGAAGATGTTCAGAATAAACAACCGGAAACTATTAAGGAAGTGACTAATGAAGAAGCGATGTTAAAACGAGCATTGGCAATGTCACTTGAAGGAACTGAAGAAACAACGTCATCTACTGCTGATAATACTGCTCCAACTACTGCAAATATACCTGATTTTGCTAATATGTCAGAAGAAGAACAAATAGCTTTTGCAATGCAAATGTCAATACAAGATCAACGTAAGTTCTAATATCTGATCTAATATATACATAGTTGATTAATATATAAATATATATTTCTTTTGATCATTTCGATTTACATTAAATAATTTTTCTATTTTTGAAGATCTCGAAACACAGATAGAAGAAGCGATGGAAGTAGAAGAAGATTATAGTGCTGTTATGTCAGATGCTGCATTTTTACAATCAGTTTTAGAAAATTTACCTGGTGTTGATCCACAGTCAGAAACTGTTCTACAAGCAGTTGGTTCCCTTCAACAAAATAAGGACAAAGATAAAGATAAAGATAAAGATAATGCTAAAGAAAAAGAAAAAGACAAGAAGTAAGGGGAGCTTTTTAGAAATACATAATACATATACATATATATATTTGTACTAGATATTATTTCTACTTTCCATTTGGGTGTTACAATTTTATGCTTATTCACATTTATGCAAATTACGTTTATCACAAGTGCGTGTATATAACCATAAAAACGAATACTAACGTATTGATTGTATAATTAAAAATGATATGATTACAAAAAGAACAAAAAAATAATAATTATACAATTCGTATGTATTTTTAATTTTATTCAAAGTAAATCTCATGTGTTATCAATGCAGTTCTATTATTTCAATTTTCTCTTATTAAATTAATTTAAATATATATATATCTTACTTTTACAATTTATTCAAAAATACACCAAATATAAATTGTGTTTGTATACTGAAATGAAATTACATTTTTGTGGTTATGTCCACAAATCCGTTTGAAGTCACGTGACTTCGGTTGACCAATCAAATCGATGCATTTATTCGTTTATGCATCATGAAGGAAACCTGTTGTATCTTGCCCCTACACCACTCAATTTAATTTAAGTTAAAATGGCTCCTATAATAACCCGCGGAAAGAAACTAGGATCTTCTAATAAAACAAATTACGATGCCTCGGAAAAAGAAAACATTTATTTACGTCGTTTGACTGATTACCAAACGCGTGTACGAAGACGGAATACTGTTAAGAGTGTTAGAAATGCAACGGTAAGATTTAATACGTTTTGTTGTAAATGATATTTACAAATTTTTAAATAAATTTTAAAAACAGCTTTATATTGGCTATTTATTAATGATGTTTTAATTCAATGTTCCTTTTAATGTTCAATCAAAAATGACTTTATTTTTTTAGGAACGTGATTTAGAACGAAAAGTAGGCGTAGAAATTCAAATTAGAGATGGATCCACGAAATTGTTGGCTGCAGCTCGTCATCGTACGCAAACTTTGGAAGCAGCGCGAGCGTTGTTTATATCTAATGAAAAAATGTCTATGTACTTAAAAGAATTACAACGTCGTAAAAAGAATTTGTTCGAATCGTCCAAGTATCTATATTTGTTTTTTACTTTTTCATTTTATTTGTTTACGCATGTGTATATTAAAGGATTGAGAGTAAAGAAAATTGATAATTCTTTTAGGTCAACAGAAAGTACAGCAACAGTTTCACTTTCTGAGATTAGATTTCCATTAATGTGGAAAGATTTGGATCATTTTAAAAATCGTGGGGATTATAGAAGATTCGCTGTCTTTTGTATGGCTCGTATAGGCACAGAAATATGTGACACAAGTTTACTCTGTCCTATAGATAGAACACATACCGATATTACTTTTACAGATCCTTTAATATTGTGAGTTACTTTGAATATAATTATTCCATTTAATTTAAAATAGAGAAAGTAAAATACATTTATGAATAACATGTTTATTTCTACACTTCTTTACAGTTATAATGTACCAGCAGAGTTTGAGCTCACATTGGAAATTTATAGCTGTATGCTGGAAGAAGATTTTAGCATTGCGAGTACTCCATTGAAAATTACTAAAACTATACATTCGTCAATATCCAGAACGCTTGGCAAAAAATTGAGTGCATCTATTAACGGAGAAATCAACCACGTCCAATTGTAAGATTTATTAATCATTCCTTTTTTATTTGTAATCATTAAAATGAATATTTTCTATTTTAAAATTGATACTATTATTATTATTGTTATATTTTTCTAGAGGTCCACGCTTTGAACTGGTTGCCTCCGCCAAACTGACTATAGAAGAAACAGATAATGATGTACGAACGCATGATCTTGTTATAAATCATGTTGGTGAGACAATATTTCTTTAATGCTTTAAACTAACATCAATAACTCTGTTGTGATTAGAAGAGTATGAGATGTATTCAACAGATCTTTGGACATACCCTTGAGATATACACATTTGAATATCCAAGGTCTGTATAGTCGGTAATGATAAGGCATGCGCATGATTGGACATACAATTATTTCTTCAACATCATTTTTCAAATAATTATTATTTTGTTTTTTTATATCCTTTATTCAAATATTTCTAAATTTTTAATCTTCCTTTCAGAAAACAAGAATTGTATGTTACCACTTTTTGGATACTTTTGCTGTCGCTTAGCAGTAGAACCCGAATGTATTAACTCGGATATCCATGCAAGCATAATTGATATAAATGGTCAAAAGTATTGGGCACGTTTACGTAACTTTTGCGTTAAAACGTGGCTCTCCAAAGAATTGGAAGATGAAGAAAAAAATGTTATTCATACTATTCCTATAAATAAAGTTAGTTTAATTATATTGGGGGGAATTATGTCATATATGTGAATCTCTTTAATGAAATTAAATATTTTGTTTTTTCTTTTAGGAAACTATTATTCAGCCATCGAAAAAATCATCCAGAAAAATTTTATTAACAAACTTTATCGATGGTACTAAAAAAATAATTATATTCGTATTAAAATCAAATAAAGAAGCTCAAGAATGGTTGAAATATTTAACAACTCATTCGAAAGATCATGGCAGGTGGAAAAGTGTAGGGCAAACAATTGAGCGAGTACAATCAACAGACAATATTATTCCAGTCCTTTGTGATAATAGACAAGGTTCCTTGTATGATGAAACATCATTGATAGGTAATATGAATAAATTATTACAAGTTATATTTAAAAAAAAAAAATAGAACTTTATCTTACCTATAATTAATTACGTTGTTTCAGAATCCATTCCATCCAGTTTATGTAGCACACAAAGGTTCTCTGTACAAGATATTTCTCATTCAATATCTAACAATGTTTCTGGCAACACGTCGAATCTCCATACTCGCTCACTATGCAATAATAGTTTATATAAATTAAGTTCTACTGGCACAAAGCATCGTTGGTCTTTCTTAAGTAAAGATTAAACACAAATATTAGAATAAGTATATATATTTATATCGGAAAAGTTTTAGGAAAATATATATTTTACATATCTTATGCAAATCTTTGATTATATTTTTCAACAGAATATACCTACTATATATATATATATATACATATATATATATAGTTAACATATGCACACACACACACACACATATATATATATATATATATGCATATTGCTTTTTAAACATATCAATATATCAATGTTATGTAAAACACTACGTCACAATTAACTATTTTACGTAAATTTATATTATAAGTCTAAATAATTAAAGTTTTATTCAAACTATCTATGGTATTGCAAAATAATCCCTTAACAATATTTCTAATCTCAATAGTTGTATTACTGTGAATATTATATTTTATATTTCAAAGTATTATGAACGATTAAATAAAATACAAAAAGCAATTATTTAAATGAGTATCAATCACGACCTTATAGATTAATTAAAATATTAACAAAAGGTAAATATATCAATTAAATTATTCTTATTTTTGTTTCTGTTGATAAAGTATTATATTTTGAATAATTTGTTTTTTTGCTAATAATATCTTGTTTAATTCTAAGCAAAGATATTTTTTAAATAGTTTTTTCTTCTTTCCGAGCGAAAAGCGTCAACTTTTATCCCGCTGTGCAAAACGAAGTTGCCGCTTTCCACCTACGTCGAGCAGAAAAAAGTATACTCGACTGAGGCCAACAATTACATGTACTCTGAGACATTTCTTACTTTACTTCCCTAGGTGAGTAATATACTATTTTTTTATTGGTAGAAATAGATTTTTTAAAGATATGAATTTACAAGACATTGATAAGTTTAAATTTATACATTACTATTCAACTTGTGCTAAAAATTGATTCAACTTAAAAGATTTTGTTTATGTTACTTTGTTATCTGTATTTTTAGCATTGAGTTTCTTCTGTGCTAGAATAAAACCAGTAGTTATAGCAATGAAAGTAAAAGCTTGGGCAGCAACTCTTGTACGCATCATATACTGCGACATTTGTGAATTTCCTTGCACAAAGTTGTATAATCCATAAACAAGTGCGGATACTGTGGCAAGCGAACCTGAAATTATATTTACATTTGAGATAATATTATAATAATATTTATACAATTATAGAAGATTATTATTATATAAAATATCATTATATTAATATGATATATATTAATAATCATACATACACATGATTATATATATTCTATATTTCTGTTAGAATTACTTAATTAATATCAAGATTATTTAATTAATTGATAAAAGGTTATGTTTACCTATTGGTACAAAAGGATTTTCTTTCATTTTACGAAAAAATTTGTCCTTTGTACTTTCAGGTATACTCCCAATTGGAAATTCTTTAATTGAAACATCTTTTATTGTTACCCAATCCAAATCTTTGTTTGCAGCATCTTTAGATAAATTCTTTTCCATTATTAATATGCTGATAAAATTTTACGAGATGAGTTGAAAGAATATTAAAGATTAGGGAAGTATAAATAACCTAACAAGACCACTTTTGACGTAACTAAAATCATCTTAGTTAGTAACGGGATCACCAGTGGGCGAAAGTAAATACTTAACGCGATGACGGTACAATCTATCAAAGTATACAAAGAGCTGGTAATTCACCAGCTCTTGTCACCTAAATAGCTCCAAAAGTATGATAGTAGCAGAAAAATGGATAAGGAAAAATTTGCATGAAAATTTCAGGACTACAATATGACATTAATATTTTTTTGCTAGGTTCAGTCATTTTCAAGATTTATTTTGGTCAACTTTGTTTTTTTAAATACAATGTTATATTTTAATACTTATTTTTGAATAGCAGCTGACAAGAAGAATCCAATGATGTGCAATATTAAATATAAAACCTGACAATGATCAATAAAAACTATTTAGAAAATATCTGTTCCATCCGTTGTCGGAACAACTAAAGGATGACAAAACCCTGACGCGACCATGATGCAGAAGAACTGTATTGTGGCTAGCTTGTTCGCCAGTTTTGACTTTCAATGTTGTTTAATAATTTATCTTGATTAAAAAGAAAAGCAAAAGAATAATATAAATATAATTATAAATACGAGCAAATCAAAGGAATTTATAAAAGAATGAATATGGGGCATTAGCTTAATAAACTTTATCTACCATTAAATCATTATTTATTTAGTTGCTTTATTGTTATATGTCATATAATAGTTTTGTATCATATATCGCAATTATCATAAATCAAATTTGAAAATAGGCTTTAAATTATAACAATATATCTTAGAGAATAATTGAAGCGCTCCCTGGAATATAGGTCAAAGTCCTCATATGATTTTTCATGAGCTTAATTGAAACTTATACGGGGACCGTTTCAATTATAATGTAGTATCGTCGTTATGTATTGAACACTTGCCGAAATCCCCGTCAAGGTTTTCAAATGTTCAATTAAAATGAACATTTCATATATCGAGTGTATCTATATTACTTAGTATATCCTAGTAGTACAGCCGAGACAGCAGGTGACACATTCCTATATGCACCCTCTTTTCCTCTAATTGTTTTTTCTTTTTTTTAATAATAATCATAATATAATAATAAACATTACCACCACAGCAATAATAGTATTACAATAGCACTGTCGCTAAGACACGCTCAATTATATTACGTGTTGGCGGTCCGCTACCACTTTAATGATGAACAGTATTCATTGATCTGAATAGGAATTCAGTATACGTAATATAATGTATTATTAATACAATCTTATGTGTTGGTTCATACCAAAACATCATTGCTTACGTAGATTGGGTTTTAAGAGCCTGGTCATTTCCTTGCGTTGTGCTCAAGTATAAATTTCTCTTTGCTAACAGTCATACGATAATCTGTGCACGTAATAAACTGTCACATGGTGGTGATTATTATCTTGTTAATAAGGACAATCTGAAAATAATATATCCGTATATGCTTGCGTCAGAGAATGGTGAACTAAAGCTCCGAACTAGCATAGTTATTGAATAATGCCAATGCAACACCAAAAGTGCGCGTTCGTTGCAATCTATACAATCTGTTCGCTATAGGTTTTTCATTATCATCGCTGCTAACAATGATATTAAACATGATTTTTATAAAGTGCAGTGGAATTATAGTACTAACAGCATCAATTAAATGATTATGAGCGAGTATAGAGGATATAACAGGAAGAACGAATATATCGATTATACGAAATTACATAGGATTCTGAACTTCCACTTATTTGTATCAGTATCTTTCAGCATATGGTTGTATTCAAATTTAAACGCAAAGCCATGAATTATACATGACTTTCGTGAAATTCGCGAAAATATTTAACGGTTATATCGCGTCTTCTATATATTAAAGAATTATCATTAACAGCATACTTATATTCAATGAAATTAAAACATATATAAGAATACAGAATATAGAATACAGAAGCTTCAAAGAGACTGCTGATAATGATGAAATAATAGATCATTGGTAAATGTTTTTCGCATTACATAGATTTTACTACCGTTCAAATCAAAATTAAATATTTGTCTCTGGTGCATATGTATTACAAGTGTGCATTTTTGCATTATAATATTTGCGCACACGTTGCATCGAATGGTAAAGAATATTGTATTCGTATTTCGCAAATTGGCAGAGTATTCCAATGATAGAGTAACAGAGTCACCATCATCAACATCGTTTCAATTCTTGTTGGTTAGTTCTAGAGCGTGCTACTACCGGCATTAAGGATCGACTTATGAACGAACGAACGAACGAGCGAACGAGCGAACGAACGAACGAACGAACGAACGAGCGAACGAACGAACGAAGTAACTTAATTGTTAGATTACTTTCTCTTCTGTCGGTCCTTCGCCGTCATTAATCTGTTTATGCCGTATTCAATATTTATCGGATAATTACTCTAGATAATAGCAATAAGCTGTAGTAAGGATTTGCTATCTTATCTTCTACCATGACAAGTAATATTGAATCTGTAGTTTAATGAATATAATAGGTAGTAATGTAGTTGATGAGCCTAGAAACAACGCTTCGTAATGTCAGTTCCATCTATCGCTACTTTGAATTGTGAATCTATTTCTCTTCATCCGGATCAGATCAAAGTAATATTATCTTCAGATGAGAGATCTTTGTTTAATGAGTCCATTTATTCCACCCCTAAAAAAAGAGATTCAAATTATATTTTACCATACACAGATATTAGTATTAATTACAACTATAATATATTACGATAATGAATGTGCAAAAATATACAATTTTAATAGTTAAAGTTATTTTCATAGCGTATATACCTGAACGAAGTACGCCATTCTATATATTACGAACAAATAATTATTGATCTTAGAAAAGTTATGAATTTTCATTTTCAATTATAAATCAAAAATATATCAAAATACCGGATGTTGTTGTTTGTCTTGAACAGCATCAGGAATTCCCCAAGAAGGAGCGGCATCTAACTTCGTTGGTTCAGTAGGAGGCATTTCTGCTAATCCAGGTGCCCCAAATTGTCCAGGTAATAAAGTTAAACCTGGCATTAAAGATAAAGTGGCAGCACTTCCATTAGGAAAAGGTTGTTGAGCGTCCACATGGCCCTATATACAGATATATAATAATTAACATACAATTAATGGTGAATCTAGTAATACCTTCTCTAAAGGTATCAAACTGATATTGAACAGTGGGTCAAATATATTTAGTACTTTTTGTAGTTAATTTTAACACTATGATATCCACATGTCTAATTGGGATTCTTTTGATTAACGCCGATAGGACTGACTTGAATCAATTCGCTTGTTGCCGGTAGTTTTTAAAATTAAAATTTTTTTTTAAATATTTCCATGTGTAATTTAATTATTTATTTTGTTTGGAAAGTACTTTCTCGCTATTTTGTACATCTTTAACATATTTTCTAAGTGGATATATTTT